AATGGTTGAATTTCGAGAACGAAATTTCCAACCGACCAAAAGTCACCAAAGGTCCGTCGAGATTTTTCTTGCCAGCTAGCTCTCCAGCGCCCCGGAATTATTCTTAAACTTCCAGCATCTAGCTAAGGGAAGCTCTACGAGTTACCTGGGCTTGGGGCCTGCTAGCGTCTGCATGGGCGGTGTTCCGACTGCCGCCCGCGTGGATCAGTTCCGCGTCGTGAAGTTCACGCGGGCCACGTTGCTGCACCGGCGCCGGCGAGAAAAGGATCCCCGAACCTCCCGCCCGACTGCTGCTTGGAGCTGCCGCCTGGCGGCCCGCCCCCGCCGCGGAGGAGGCCCCTCCTCGCGCGGCCGCCAGGGCAAGCGCCTTGAAGGGCCGCGGGGCGGAGGCCTTGGTGGAGGCCGCAGCCCGCCTGGTCGAGGAGAAGGAGGCCGGGGGCGGTGATTTTGGGGAAGCAAGCTTTTTGGATGAGGAGGCGGCCCTATACCGTAATGAAGCCAGGCGCGGACGACCGCGGGCCGCTCGTGGACGAGCGCCTGGCTCGGCTGGGGCGCAACGCCGCCACCCGCAAGCAAGAGGCTCAGGACGAGGGAGGCGGCCCCAGAGGCGTCGGCTGCGGGGCCGTGGGCCCGTCCGGCCCATCCGAGCTGCGCCGCCGCTTCGAGCAGGCCCGCGCTTGGATGCCGCTGGATAGCGGCGCCGCCCAGCCCTCCCGCCCCCGGCGCCTGGGCGACATCTTGGGGAGCCCAGGCTCTCCCGCCGAGGCGTCGAGCAGACAAGCCTCGGGACAGGCCCCGCTCGGCTGGGTGGGGGGATGACAGCAGCAGGCTGATCGGCGGGCTCGCCCGAGCGCTGAGGAAGGCCAGCAAACGGGCCCGCAGCGACGACCCGTTCAGGAATGACAGCGAGGACAAGCAGGCTGGCGGCCAGACTGGCAAGACATGGGGAACCCGGTGGACTGCTTCCAAGAAGCTGGCCACCGTGTATCCTGGACGAATCGTTGAGAGGGCGTGCACTTACATGCTCGAACGCCTCGATGAGGGAGACGTGGCCATCGCCGCCATTGAGGGGATCCCAGGGCGGTCTTCTGAAGTTTCACCAGAGCCTCTTCATGGAGGCCAAGGCGATCGCCAGCCTTGGCGAAAGCCGGCACCGCGAGATGAGGACCTTCGTTGCCGCCTTGGTCCTCTCACAGTCGAGCGATGCCGCGGAGGCCTGCGCCAGCAGGGTGAAGTCCCTGCTCGAGCACCTTGGTGACACGGTGGTTCGAGCTGCTCCAGGTGCAGCGCCAGCAAGGATAACAGCACCTTGGTGACACGGTGGTTCGAGCTGCTCCAGGTGCACTCGGAGGTGCTTTCCCGCAACGCGCGCAGGACGAGGATGGTTTTGTTCGCTTCCTTTCCTGCATTTGCCGTTCGTGTTGTTTGTGCTGTTCCTCTCCTTTCCGGGCTCCACCACGCGATCGGTTGTTCCAGACGTACAGTACAACAGCAGCTACAGTAGCAGCAGTTCGCTACTCCAGCGGCATGCTGGCGCTGCTGGGCCGACTGCGGCCGCAGTTGTGGACGGGAGGCCGGGGTTGCGGAGTGCGCGACCTCCTTTTTACAGGCCAGGCCTCCTAAGAAGTTTTCAAGACCCCCTAAAAGGTAACCGGTAAGCTTTGAATAGTATCTAAGAGGCGTTCAAGCGGCCCCAACCATAAAATCTTCAGGGCCGAAGGCAACTCGACGATGCCCGCCCGAAGAACAAATCCGAACGAGCAGGGCAGGTATGAAGACAAGGAGGGGGTAGAGATTATGATTTGCGTTGCCGTCTTACTGCTGCTTCCCTAGCCTACATTGTGGTTCCATCGTTGTTCCTACCATCATCGTTGCTCCTTCTCCCCTCCTGCCACATATACATATCCTCCTCCTTCTCCCCACTTCCTTCCCTTCCATCTGTCATCATTGTTCATGTCTTCTCCATGCTCCGGTATCCCTCGTTTCTCCAGCAACCCTCCCCCCTCCATCGTTTCACCGCGGATCTTGTGCCCATGCTTGGCAATCCCAAGCGAGCGCTCGTGGTTCTACTATTAGGCATGCGCGAATGTATTTTCAATACTAGCTCTTGACCGGAAGGAGCCCGCTCCCGACCCGCAGACCAGACAAAGTGTATTTTCAATACGTGTATGTACATCAGACTGAGGGGGCCGAACGGTCATTCATTGTCCCTGGGTGCGTGGCTGAATCAGGGATTCGTGGTGAGAATTCTGTTTGTTGCGTTGTTAATGTTGTTGCTGCTGTTGAACTCTCATTCTTGAAGAATAATTATTGTTGATCCCCCCCCACCGGTGCACATTGATTTTTTTCGATTGAAGTGCCACCCCCGGGGCTCGCACTTGGTTTTTTCTCAAGGAAAGTCTTCCTGCTCAAACTGTGCCCCTGCCCCCCAGGCTACAACAACAACGGCTCCCGCCTGAGACTTCATCGGTTTTAACTCAGGACCCCCGCTCCCGCCTGAGACTTCCGCGCAATTTACTCAGGAAAGGCGCTCCCGTTTGAGACTTCCTCGCAATGTAATCAAGACCCCCGCTCCCGCCTGAGACTTCCGTGCAATTTACGTGGGAACGGCGCTCCCGCTTGAGACTTCTTCGAATTTTACTCAGGACCCCCGCTCCTGCCTGACATTTCCGCGCAATTGACTCAGGAACGGCGCTCCCGCCTGAGACTTCCTCGCAATTTAGTGAGGACCCCCGCTCCCGCCTGAGACTTCCGTGCAATTTGCTCAGGAACGGCGCTCCCGCTTGAGACTTCCTCGCAACTTAGTCAGGGCCCCCGCTTCCGCTTGAGATTTCTTCACAATGTACTCAGGACTGCGCTCTCGCGTGCGACGTCCTCACAAATTATTCTGGAATTGCGTTTCGGCGCTCAGGAACCACGCACGCGCCAAGGACGCCTTCACAACGTGGTATCTTCCCTCTTCCTTCGTCCTTCCCCCTCCCCTTCCTCCCACTCTCCCTCGTTCTTCCCCTCCTCCTCTTGCAGGGCCCGCGCCAATTCCAATGGCGGGCAGAGAGATGTACGCCCCCGAAGGATTGTCCGCCCGTTCCGGTTTGCCCGTACGTCTAAGCCCGCCGGCCCCAGCAAAGAGAAATAATCCCCCCGAAAGGGGTGTGATCGAAGACGAAGAGGGCGGGTATCGAGGGTGTAGGGTATACGTGTTGAATGACTCGCGGGCAAGTAAGAGCGTACAGCCTTAAAATGGTTGTTGCTGTTGTTGCTGTTGTTGTTGTTGAACATTATTAATTCTAAAGAATAATTATTGTTGGGCCCCCTGGTGCACGCCCCCCCCCCCGCGCCTAGGCCGCAGCCACATTTTCATCACTTTCGTGAGGAAGCCTCAGGTAAAACGATGTGATCCAGATCCGGTTGTTTTGTTGTAATCAGTTTTCCCTTGCAAAAAACACTATAAAATGACATTTCTTGTTCTAATATAATCAAATTTCAAGAATCCCTTGCAAAAAATAAGGTAAAGTGGACATTCGCGCGCGCAAGACGAAATCCTTCCAAAACCTTAGTGTTCGTAGCGATTTTAACATAAAAACATCAAAAAACCAATGGTTTTTCAACAAAAAAACGTCAAAATCTCATCCCGCGCGCTCTTGCGGATTCGTAGGAAACCCAACACTTTTTAAACATTTCTGTCAAACGGGCTTTTGCGAGCAACTTTTTCGAACTTCTGCGACAACGGTTGCGCACCTGCCAGGGCCATCATCCCTGTCAAATAATACCATGCGGGACACATTCGTTTTTTCTTCGCGCGCGCACGCCGTCGTCGTCGGCCGCGGGGCCCTGAATAGTAGCCACGGTCGTCCGCATGCCACGAAGTGAAGTGTCCGAACGTCATAGGGCGGGAAGCTGGGTGTGGGTGGTGGCGAAGAGTCGTTTGGAAATTTGGTAGAGCTTGAACCGGCCCCCTCACAAAGTGGGGGTATTGCCCGCCTCCTATGAAAACCCTGGCACTGGTGAGAACGGAGTGTCCCCAGTCTTAAATGATTGTTGCTGTTGTTGTTGTGGTTGTTGTTGTGGTTGTTGCTGTTGTTGTTGTTGCTGTTGTTGTGGCTGTCGCGACCCACCCCGCGACCCGCCCGCAACCCACCCGCGACCCGACCCGCGACCCACCCGCGACCCACTCCGCGACCCACCCGCGACCCCACCCGCGACCCAACCCGCGACCCACCCCGCGACCCACTCCGCGACCCACCCGCGACCCATCCCGCGACCGGCTCGCGACCCGCTCGCGACCCACCCCGCGACCCACCCGCGACCCACCCCGCGATCCACCCGCGACCCACCCGCGACCCACCCGCGACCCACCCCGCGCCCCACCCTCAAGGGAGGAAAACCCCCCCGGACCCAACAATTGCCTTTTATTAAAACGGCCGTAGGCGTTGACTAAACAGCCCTGCTCTGTTCGATTCATTCCTTGTGTGCGTTGTTTCGCATGTCGGGGTGATTATTATGGGGTGGATTTTCTGCCCTCTACACCCGCGACCCACCCGCGACCTAACAGCGACCCACCCGCGACCCACCCGCGAACCCGCGACCCACCGCGACACCCACATTGGTTTAGCGGCGCCTGCGGTGTGGCGCCTGGGGTTCTCCAGAGTCTCGCAAACTGCCGACGTCCCCACCGCCCCCTCACTCTTATCCGCATCTGCGGGGTGCTACGTGTATATATATACATAGCTGTAGACACATACATATATATTATATATGTATATATGTATATATATATATATATATATATATATATATATACGTAAGTAGATGTATATGTATGTATACATGTAGGTGTATATACACATGAGAGAGAGGGAAGAGAGATGAGAGATGAGAGAGAGAGAGAGAACGAGAGAGAATGAGAGTGAGAGAGAGAGGGTGAGAACGAGCGAGCGAGCGAAAAACGGACATCTGGAGACAATATTGTAGTTGAAGTGGGTGGAGCTGGTCCAGGGGAGGTCGAGCGGCGGCAAGGCCAGCGTGTTCTGCGCCAACACCTGGTGCCGCCCTGACTGAAGTTGAGACGAGCCCAGATTGGCCCGCATGACTTGCATATACGATCCGTGCATGATGTCGTCAAGCTTGGCCTTGCGTTCGAATTGTGTGGTCAAGCGTGGCCCCACCCAGGGCCCGACTCACGCGCATGCGTCTTGTGCACAGTATGCTCGCGCATTCGCAATTGAGTTGCTGCTTGCACGCGCGTCCATCAAGCTATGCACCCCGCGTGCGCTCCTCCTTGCGCTAGCCCAACATTGCGCTCCAGCCCTCGTCTCCCCTCCCGCTACTCTTCCTCCCCGCTTCGGAAACGAATCCACGCCGACACAGGAGGAGCCAGCAGGAGGAGGAGGAAAGGAGGACGAGGAGGAGGAGGAGGACGAGGAGGAGGAGGAAGAGGATGAAGCGGATAAACAGGACTTTGATTTTTATCATTTCGGGGGCGAACCTCAGCAAAGCGAGCTAAATCAGCATGGAGCCGACCTTCGAGCTAAGCTCGAATGGATGCCGTTGCAAATTCGGCCCCACCGAGCTTGCCTCAGATGGGGGAAGCAGGGGGAGGGAGGAGGAATTGGAGGGGGGAAGTCCCTGACGCTCAGGGTTTGCCAGGTCCTGGCGAAAACTGCACTTCTAGTCTGAAGCATGCGCCCGACCTTCCACGACCGCCCCCGTACAACTTACTTCCATTCCGAAAACAGAGAAGCTTGCAAGACGCCAACCTGCAAGTTTGGACTTTCTTACACCAGCGATTCGGTGACTGGAGAAGGTACCAGAAAGGCTTACCAATGGCAGCCTTGGCCTGGATTGCTGGGGTGGTGCGGCTGGGAGAAGCACTTCTGTCCGTAACAATTTTGGCTCGAGCGCGTGCTTTCGTTCAGAGGGGGGGGGTCTTGTATGTCCAGGTGCTGGCTGTTCTCGTTGGTGTGAGCGATTGTGCAATCGGCCCCTCGATGGCAGGGCGCGCGTCGCACCCTGACGACAGCGCCATCGTCATGACATACATGAACCATCTACCGTGCTGCGCCACAACCCCTAACCTACCCAAGCCCCACCCCTCTTTGGCAGCAGCGCCATCCTGGCACGGAACAGAAAATCGAAGGAACAAGACTAGGGGCGCCTGTCCAGGGACTTGGCCTGCAGCGACGTTGTCGTGCCAGGGGGGCCCAGCGCAGCCGAGGCCTTCGGGCTGCAGCCCGCGCCAAAGTCGCTGGAATTCCCGAGGGGCGCTTCATGGCGGCCGCCGCAGCCCAATAATCTTTTTGGCTCGCGGCCGCCCGCGTCTCCCTCCGCGCCCTTGCCGCGCAAGGTCCAGGACCCCGTGCGTCGTGCCGCCGTCGAGGGGCGGCAGCGGCTGGAACGCCACCCTCGCAGCTGCGCCAATTTCTGGCTCCAGGGCCGGCAGGTGTTTGGCGATGAGGGAGGTTCGGCCAATTTGATGCGGCGTTGCACTACCTGCATCTCCCAGCGCTTGTAGCACGATTCCTGGGGGCCGCTCGTCGAGGCCGCGCGTCTGACGGGCATCGGTAATTTGGCAACCGTTCGCTCTGACATGGTTGGTGAGATCTGCGAGGCGGCTCGTCGCTCCCGCGGGAACTCCCGCGCCTTCTGCTCCGCCAACTTGCTGCATTTCAGGACCACCGACTACGCCAAATTGGCGATGGGCGTGGCGAGGCTCGCCGATTCCATGGGCCAAGCCCACGAGGTCTATGACTCCCTGGATCCTCACGGGTGCCACGAAGGAAGCTTTCGGCGTGGAGGCGCTCGCGTTTTTGGTGGCCGAGTGGCCGTGGATCCCCCCTTTTGCCGCGGGCCCCGTCTCTGTCGCGCTCGGAACCAGGACCTTGCAGCCCCTGGTCGCTCGGCTACTGCGGCCTGCCCCAGCTGGTCTTGTTCGGCGTCTTTGGTCTCGCCGCCTACCGACGCTACAGCGGCTGTTTCGCTGGTTCCGTTCATAACTACGCGCTTCTCACCGCGGTCGGCGCCGCGTTCTTTTCGCGGGCCGGGGTGCCGAGGCGTTTCCCGGCGACCGCGAAGGCCCCCCACCCGCGGCAGAATCCCCGCCCCCGCCTCGCCCCGAGGTCGCGGCAGCCAGGGAGGGGGCCTGTGAAGAGGGCAAGGGCGGTTCTTTTGGCACGACGGCTCCTCCCAGATCTGCGGCTTCCACGAGGGCTCGATGCGCCGCCCGCGTGGCCATGAACGCCACCGTCGCCGCCGCGGTCCGGATCGCCATCTACAGGTGCTGCGACGCGGGCGGCCCGCGCGACGGCACCCTGGCCGACCTCGTGTCGATCATGGCGCCGCGCGGCAGCGCGGTGTCTGGCAGCGCGCTGGCGATCGGATTTCTCGGCGCTTGCGCGCGCCAGTTCGCCTCCACGCTGCTCCGCAAGCTCGAGATCGATGACCCGGTGGGCGCGCCCCAGGTCCAGGGCGCCCGCGGCATTTGGGGCGCGATCGCCACGGTCATTCTCGACGCGGGGCCTGGGTGAGCGCCACCTCCACGGCTGGGGCGGTTTCGGTTGCATGGCCGCCGACGGCGGCGATTGCCAGGGGCGGTTTGTTCGGCGACGCCCTCGCAGCGCACCTCATCGAGATCGCCGTCGTCGTGGTCTGGCATGGGTATCTCTCCGAGTCGCCTTCTCTTGGCTCAAGCGGACTTGGCCCCCTGCGCATCGACGGCGCCGCGGGGCCGCCGAGCCGCCCGATGTCGGGCCGCCCGACGCCCGCGGCCCCCCGTCCGATGAGCCCTTCGACAGTCTGCATCGCGCAGTCCGATTTCTATCCGCCCCTGAAGCCTTCTCTTCGGAGCGATGACTCCACTGGGTCGGCGCGAAACCCGAAGAAGGTCGCTTCAACAAACAACGCGCGCACGCACACGCGCGCACCAACCACAGACAAACGCCATGGAGGTTTGGGGTGAACCGCAGAAGCCACCGCGTCGAACTACACTTTGAATGTCATGGGCCGCCGCCGCCCTGCAGACAAGCCGCGGGGGTCAGGCGAGCGCCCGCTGCAGTAAATCGGCGATTGAATTGCTCGTGCCAGTTGTGAAAGTGGGAGGTCAGAAGCACGGGATATACCACAAGCGGAGTCGTTGTTGCCAGGAGAGCAAGTGCACGTCTCCTCTCCTCGCCCCCTTCCCCGCCCACCCCCCCCCCTCTCCCGCCCCCCCATCCCCCCCCAGCGGTGTCGGGGCAGGGCCCTCGGCAACTGTGGGCGGCTACCGCGCTGGAGCCCTGGCGCCGCCCCGACCGCGCCGTCCGCGCGTTGCTGCCCGTTTGCTGCACCGGGCGTCTCGTTTTGGCGCAGCCGCAATTTTTTAGTTTCAAGTTCGCCGCAGTGTCTTCGCTCGTCGCCGACTCCATGGTCGCGCGCATTCTGTCTCGCGGCGCCTGCGCATCTCGCGCTATTCATTGGCGCGTGCCTTCGCCTTCTGAGCTGTCTTTTTGCTCAGCCGCCGGTCCCCAACTCTTCTGCGCGTTGCGCGCTGCCCCCCGCCGCGCGGCTGAGGAAGCGCGTCCGCGGCGAGCTTCTGCTTTCGCCCGCCCCGCCCGCCCTGCCGGCGCGGCCCGCGCTGCGCATGCTCTTCCCAGCGTGTCCGGCTGTGCTTGTGCAGTTCGCGTCTCATGTCAGTCGTTTCTCCCGTGGCGACCGCATTCGACATTTCGCTTCTCTGTCTTCCCTTTTTCGCTTTGGCACATTGTGTCTCAGAGCTTCTCCTCGTCGGACGCTTTCCGCGCCCTGTATAGGGTCGTTTCGGCCGAGACATTGTCTGCGCACCTTGGTCGACGCGCGCTTCGTCGCGCGCGGGCGGGCCCGTTCGCGGCGCGCGGAGCTGGCGAACGTTGGGGCGGCTGGCGCTGACGGAGGAGAAAACGACAGCGATCGGTTGTGCTGGACGCACATCGCAGCAACAGCATCAGCAGCAGCGCGCTACTCGAGCGGCGCTCCGGCGCTGCTGGGCCGACTGCGGCCGCAGATGTGGACGGCGGGCCGGGGCTGCGGGGTGCGCGACCTCCTCCTTGCAGACCAGGCCCCCGAAGAAGTTTTCAAGACACCCCCCAAGGCAGCCAAAAAGCATCGAATCGCACCGAAGAGGAGTTCAAGCGGCCCCGGCCGTAGCATCGGGGCGCTCCGCGGCGGCCCCCGCAGCCCAGGAATCCCCTCGGCTCGCGGCCGCCCGCGTCTGACTCCGCGCCCTTGCCGCGCAAGGTCCAGCGCCCCGTGCGTCGCGCCGCCGTCGAGTGGCGGCAGCGGCTGGAACGCCGCCCTCGCCGCCGCGCCAATTCCTGGCCCCAGGGCCCGCAGGTGTTTGGCGATGGGGGGGGGGGGGGTTCAGCCCATGGGATGCGGCGCTGCATTACTTGCGCCCCCCAGCGCTTGGAGCGCGATTCCTGGGGGCCGCTGGTCGTCGAGGCCGCGCGTCTGACGGGCATCGTAATTTGGCAACCGTTCGCTGTGACATGGCTGGTGAGATGCGCGCGGCGGCTCGGCGCGCCCTCTGCTCCGCCGACCGTCTGCGCCCCAGGGCCACCGACTACGCCGAATGGGCGATGGGCGTGGCGGGGCGCGCCGATTCCACGGGCCAAGCCCGCGAGGTTTTTGACTTTGCAGTCCCTTGTCGCTCGGCTACTGCGGCCCGCCCCAGCTGGTCTCGTTCGGCGTCTTCGGCCGCGCCGCCTACCGCCGCGACAGCGGCTGCTTCGCTGGCTTCGCTCGCGCCCGCGCGTTTCCCGCCGTTGGCGCCGCGTTCTTTTCGCGAATTCGGGCGTCGAGGCGTTCGCGACGACCGCGAAGGCCCCCCCCCTCCCGCGGCAGAATCCCCGCCCCCACCTCGCCCCGAGGTCGCGGCGGCCAGGGGGGGGGGGGGCGTGTGAAGAGGGCAAGGGCGGTTCTCTTGGCACGACGGCTCCTCCTGGATCTGCGGTTCCCACGAAGGCTGAGAGCGCTGCGCCTGGCGATGCAACGGCTGCTCCTGGCATGGCCGTTCCGGCCGGAGGAGCAGAAG